CCCTCCACCACCTGAGAGTTTGTTTGAAGAATGTCAGTTTCTTCCGTGAAACAATCCACTCACTCTCGCCCATGATCAATTCATACGATTGCACCTGTATTCCACTCTTGACTCCCTCCAGTGGCTCAATGAGGAAAAATTTTTATTTTTCATCCGCCGTGATGATTCGTTCGAAAACATTTCATGAAAACGGGAAAAATACGCCAGGAATTTCTTGTCTCCGGGCGACAGAGAACTGAGGCCGGAATTCCTAGGTCTTGATTTCAGGGTTTTCTTGTTGTTGTATTTTTTTTCACTCTCTCTAGTGTCTCAATAAGAAAAAACTTATTTTTCATTCGCTGCCGATTTCTTTGAAAACAGTTCGTAAAAGAAGGGAAAATTACGTCGGGAATTTCATGTCTCCAATTTCAGCGGTTCCTGCTGTTATATTTTTTTTATTCCCTCCAATGTCTCAATAAAAAAAAAAATTATTTTTTATTCGCCGCGCTGAGTTCATTCAAAAACATTTAATAAAAAACAGGAAAAATCCGTCAGGAATTTCTTGTCCCGGGCGACAGTGAACTGAGAGAAATTTCTCGGTCTCAATTTCAGCGTTTTGCTGCTGCTATATTTTTTTTCACTCCCTCCAATGTCTCAATGAGGAAAAACATTTAGTCATTCGGAATGATTTCATACAAACGGAAAAAATACGTCAGGAATTTCTTGTCTCCAGGCGACAGGGAACTGAGTATGAAATTCCTTGGTCTCAATTTCAGCGTTTTGCTGCTGTTATATTGTTTACCCCTTCCAATGTCTCAATAAAAAAAAATATTTTTCATTTGCCGCGCTGAATTAATTCCAAAACATTTCATAAAAACAACACGTCAGGAATTTCCTGTCTCCGGGCGACCGAAAACTGAATCTGAAATCTCTGTCTCCATTTCAATGTTTTCTTGCTGTTGTATTTTTCTTCATTCCCTCCAATATCTCAATAAAAAAAAAAATTATTTTCCATTCGCCGCGCTGAATTCATTCCAAAACATTTCATAAAAGCAACACGTCAGGAATTTCCTGTCTCCGGGGGACCGAAAACTGAGTCAGAAATTTCTCTGTCTCCATTTCAATGTTTTTTGCTGTTGTATTTTTTTTCACCCCTTCCAATATCTCCATAAAAAAAATTATTTTTCAATCGTAGCTCTAAATTAATCCAAAACCATTTTCTAAAAACGGGAAAAAAGTCATGAATTTCTTGTCGCGGTGCGACGGAACCGCGTCTGAAATTTCTCGGTCCAAAATTCAGTGCTTTCTCACAATTTTTTTTATTCCCTCCAATAAGAAAAAAAAAATTTTATTCGCCACGCTGATTTAATTCCAAAACATTTCATAAAACGGGGAAAGACACGTCAGGAATTTTCTGTCCCCGTACGACAGAAAACTGAGTCTGAAATTTCTGTTTCCACTTCAATGTTTTTCGCTGTTGTATTTTTTTCCCCCCTCCAACGTCTCAACAAGAAAAAAATATTATTTTTCATTCGCCGCGCTGAATTAATTCAAAACGATTTCCTAAAAACGGGAAGAAAAGTCATGAATTTCTTGTCGCGGTGCGACAGACCGAGTCCGAAATTTCTCGGTTTCAATTTCAGTCTCCTCTCGCCGTTGTATTTCCCCCGAATGTCCCTACCACTGGGGGGGGGCGACACCCACCTCACGCTACACTCCTGAGATCCCGTGGCGTTGTGCCGGAGTGCAGGTGGGCCGATTGTCGGCGGAAAGAGCCGACAATACTCGGGGGAAAACCGAGCGGCGGCACTCGCCGTAGTCTGTTGTCAGAGTATTCAGTAATGCTTTGCATGGCCAGCCAGCAGCAACTACGCTTGTCCGTGAAACTTGTGTATTTTTTTTTTTTCAACAATCCAGTGAATCGTGTGCCGCAGTGGTTACCCGACAATATCAGTGTGGGCGGCTTTAGCGGTAACCGTGAAACCGTGACTATTTCATTCTGTTATTTATCTGAATAAAGCTAAAGAAAAATCGCCGTCTGACGGCCAGTGAGGAGTTCCAATTCGCTCGACACTGTCAGTTATTTGAGTTCAATCATACAAGATTAATCAACAATATCAGTGTATGGTTAACGAACGATCCAAGATGCTGTCATCAGTGCCAGCTAAATAATAATGTGGTGCGACGTTGGTCAGGTGAGTTCAGTGGAAAAAAATTTTTTAAAACAAATTTATTTATCCCATGGGTCTAGCCAATTCTCCCGTCAGTACGAGCGAATTTTTTTACTCACAACCGAGGTTATCCTCACGCGTGAACTCTGCGTTCTCCTCGTGACCAGAGAACAGCTCTCGCGCAAGTGTACCTCCGGGCTATTTCGTTCCAGTGCTCCTTCGAGTGACTCCTCCTGTGAAACAGTGTTTCCATTTTTCCCTTTCCCCGGTATTTTCGAGCCCATTCCGTCGCTGATCCATCGTCTCCACTATTTTGAAATCATTTCGTGACACGTCCCCCGGTCGCTCGAGTATTTTCCGAGTCCCCGAGTGTCCGCAGGAGTAAACGAAAGTGCAGGAATGGATTTGAGGCTTTAGTTGCGAGTGAATGGTCTCATTCAGGATCAAGTGTTTTGGGGAGTCATAGGATAGTGCGCATTGCGCCCGGTGGAATGTCAGATTTGACGCGTGGTAACCTCGTGTTCGGTTGTTCGAATTCGAAGCGATCCCGCGTTTCCTTGGCCTAGGGGGTGGGCGGGGAGGTGGGTGAGAGAGAGAGGCGGCGGTCGAAGTTGTGTGCCGTTTCACGAATATCACATGTACATCCACGTTTTATGGCGGCGAGAATGCGGGGGGAACGGGCTGAGCCAGCGCTGGTTTCTTAACTTGGCCAGTTGTGGAGGAAATCCAACGTCGTGGGGAAATCATGGCCCGGGGAGGGGGCTCGGGGGGCCTGTGCTAGCCGTTGACCAACCATCGAGCGGACACTTATCACCATGGTTACCACGACAACAACAATTCGTTTATCTTCCTTTTGGAAGCGTTGAGACGCTCATTAAAGTAGCATTAACTCCACGTGAGTCGATGAGTAACGGGGAGGTGCATTTAAAATGCCGGGTAAATGAGTCCTCGTTGATGATTTGTTGGGAGAATTGGAAATTAGGGGGGGAATGTCATTGTGGAGCTGAAACTGGCAGAATAGTCGTCAGCGGATAATTTAGGTGGGGATATTTGGGTGGAGGAGGGTCAAATAATCATTCCAGAAAACAATTTTTGCCAGTGGCGTCTAAAATTTAACGGGACAACGGCAATTTGTCGACAAATTGTCGACGTAGGGGAGGTTGGGGTAAAATGGACACTTTTGACTTTGTTGGAATTCATGCCTGAATACAAAAATTAATTTCTTAGTTTAGTTAAACATTTTCTCTTTTCCACCCAAACACTCAGGGTGACATTTATGGCTTTTCTTAGAAAATAGAGACGTGAAGAAAAACAGTCCTCATGGTGAGTCACAAAGGAGAGGCTGAAGAAAATTGAAACAAGGGCCTTTTGTCAAATGGGTCCAGAGAGTGAAAACTCTCATGACTTTTAGTTAGTCGTCCTAGAGACTTCGTTGGAGAAAGATATACCTTCTGCGTGCGATCATTAAAGAGTTTTACTTTGAAGAATAAAACTAATGTGTTTTTATTGAGTATTCCTACACATAATCCGATAGACTTTTTTGAAAATGTTAATGACGGGTTGAAATCTTGCAAGAACATCGCAAAGAACAATTCTTTCCCTTTGGGGTGACCCTAAACTGAGCTCAATTGATAAATTTGTCTCTGAGCTATGAGTAATTAAAACAAAAGTCTAAAGTGTCCATTTTATCCCACCCTCCCCTACTGTTTGCTGGGATGTGGAAATGTTGTTTAAGGGCGAGAGAGTTTGTACGTTAATTAAAAATATTTGTGCACGCCTAGATTTGCCCGAGAAATCTTCTGCTGTCGAATCTTTCGATAGTTTCAGCTTCGTTAGTTTTTAATGAATATCTCGGAATCTGAGGGAGATGGCGAAATTTTTGTTATGAGCTTTTTTGTAGAGCTGATTGAGAGCTACAATAAATGTGATTACGAAAATTTCGGTATTTCCCTTAAATTCGGAAATATTCCTCATTTCTCTGTTTTTGATAGCATTTTTATTATTTTTTGTTATTATTCGAGAATTTTTCTACATTTTAGTAGTCTTACTCAACTCGAGAAATTCGTTTGTCATGAGTCTTTTTTTTTCTACTTCTAAATTAATTGTTAGTAATAATCCTCGACTGCCGATTGAGAATTGTAACTTCTGTTTAGTTTAATTTATTTCAGATTTTAATCTTCAAAATTTAAGTTATGTTTTTACTACTTTAAAGTAGAATATTCAAACTCCAAGTGAGTCGTTGACTGTAACGAGGATGAGTAAATTTAAAGACTCGAAAAGAAATTATTCATCATAATTTCTCATACGAATTCTAACTTTGACGAGCGGGAGAAATTAATCCGTCAAATTCTCTGATAACTGTTCTCAGAAGACAATAATCTCTCGCTTGACTAGAGCATCCCTGTAACGTTCGGGAGACTCAGAAACATAAATTATTCGTTACAAAATTTCGATAGAATTTTTATAATTTTTTTCTGCTTTTTAAAAAAAAAAATTCTACATTTTAGTCTTCTCCCTAATCTCGAATAAATTAATTTTTTTATAAGAGTGTGTTATTTTGCCACTTCTCAATCAATTATTATCAATAGTACTAGACTGTCAATTAAGCACAGGCTCAACCAGAATGTTTTAATTCATATTAACTTCGATTTTGAGTTTACTTCAGATGTTAATTTTTAAAATTCCTCTCATGTTTTTACTACTTTGAATACATTTTTTATTCGATTAAGGTGGGCTCAGATTCAGAGCTTGAGTCTCAATTTTTCGGAGGTGAGGTGTTTAGTAATGGGGTAATGCTCTGGGGAACAATCAGTTTCAATGTACCAGGCTGTGGAGGCTCGCGAGACGTGTGTCAGACATGAGTCGGTTTAGTCGGCGATGAAAATTAGGTCTCGACCACACGGTGTGACAAAAGCCGGAGTCCACGTGGTCGCTGCTCATTCTAATGAAAGAAAAATAGAAGATACTCACGGAGTATGACGGTTTCAGGAGAACGTCGCGTGTGAGGCGCACGTGGGGATAAACTGCCAGATAAAAATTGAAATTTCAAGAACAGTTTTGGAAGAAATTGTACGGAAAACTTGAACGGATGGATTGAATTCGGTTTAGCGCTTGAAAAATTGGAAAATTTCGAATTTCATCGAGAATTCAATGCCATTGAAATCAATGTTTTAATCAATTTTTATTTGCCATTGACTAAATGTTTGAATCAATTGTTTGAAATTTCAAGAGTATATTTATCTGAATTTTCCTGATTTGAAATTAAATTTTCAGTTGCCATTGATTTTTCCTCACTGAAATTTCAGTGGGACTGTCACTTGATGAAAATTTCCAAAGAATGTACCGAAAATTTCAGATGAAACTGAGACTAGCGATTGATCGATTTAGACGAATGTAGGGAGAACCAAAATTTTTTTAATCATGTAGAAATTTTTTGGTACTTGAAAAACATTCCGCTAGTTTTAGCTTCATAAATTTCAGCCAAAAAGTTTAACATTACCTTTCCAATTTAATTATTCTTCTCATTTTTGTAAATGTCACTGAACCTTAATTTATGAAAAAATGGCGATGAAATCCCCCGAGAAATTTCAACATCATGGAGAGATTAGTATTAAAAAATTGTAAAATTTCAAATTTCTCTGAGAATTCAATGACATTTCGAATTTTCTAGCAGCAGGGAGATGAAAATTTAGTAGAATTTTCGATCAAAATGTGAATATTTTGTACCAAATGGTGAATTTTCAGTGAAAAAATTCCTTAAAATTCGGAAATTTCAGTCAAAAATTTTGAAAAGTGAGTTTTGAATTTTTATTGTATTCTCAAAACCACAATTTTATTCATCTTCCTAAATGCCACAGAATGTTAATTTTCCAGAGAAATGAATTGCGAAATTATGAATGAACAAACGAACTACTGACAGATTACAAATGCCGATAAAATCCCCTCATTAATAGCTGCCGTGTTCGATCATAGTATACTACGGTTTTCATTCGGCGTCAATGTTCGATATCTGCCTGAGGCCTATCGATCATCTCGATGCCAAGAATTAAAAAGAAATGAGTGTAAAAAAGTGATGAATTAGAATAAGAGGCGATAAACCCGATTAGAGGAGTTGGATTAATGCGATAAACCATAGAAATAAAAAATGACCTGTCTCATTGACTCAACCTAAACTGGTTTATTTTTATTCGAGATAATCCAACAGCTACTACTGTTTTATTTATAAATCACTTCGAACTCACTGACCTATCCCCATCGTAATCGTTTTCCTATACCTGAGGATTTATGAAGCGTGCCAGACAATGTGACGCATCCCATGAATTCTAATAAATGAATGAACCGAAATTTAATATCGGCATGCGCCCATTGACCTAGGCCTACACTATTTGACAATTTCGGAGGGAAGTTCTGGAAAAACTTTTTGGAAATTTTCATCACATTGTTGTTTGCAGTGAAATTTGAAGAAATTTCGTCGTTAAAAATTCACAATTTTATGGAGAAATCGATAGAAACGATTTTAATTCCAAATATTCTCTGAAAATTGATAAAAATTAGTAAAATTTAGGTAAATATATTCTATAATTTTCCCTTGATATTAACAATTCAAGGAATTCTAGTTCTTCTGCTTATAAAAATGAGAGATCTCTGATGAGAGATCTCTGAATTTGAGTTCAATTATTCCCCGAAAATGAGTAGAAATTAAAAAAAAAACGAAATTTAACGTTTTGACGAAAATTCTGGGAAAACTTTTTGGAAATTTTCATGACATTGTCGTTTATACTGAATTTTGGAGAAATTTCGTCGTTAAAAATTCTGAATTTTATAGAAAAATCACTGGAGACTGTCGATTTCAATTCTAATGTCCATTGAAAATTGATAAAAATTAGGAAAATTCAGGTAAATGTATTCTGGAATTTTCAATTGATTACAGCAATTTAAGAAATTCTCGTTTTTCTGCTTATAAAAAAATTGAAATTTCAGGAATGAACAATTTCATGATTATTAACTCGAAATCGAATATAGTG